TAATTTTGTTGAATATTACGAAATTAAGATTTAAATTGAAACCAATGCGTTGAAGGGAGAGTTCGTACTTCATAATTTGATAATGTCGAAATTTTTTAAACGTTATTCTATTTAGCATTATAACTTCGTCATACTAAGGGCTGTATACTGAAACGACAAGTTCCAGCACAGATTCCTACAAAGCATTTACACCTTTGAGTTTAAGAGGAGCTTTGACTGATAGGTGACAGTTGTAAGCAACCTGTTTAGACACGACAGACGAATGAAATACATTCTGACACTTCTATTCAACACGACACAAGTACGCATTAGCCCCCATAATATACTGTTAGGTTACTGAGGATATCAAGTAGCATTTCTCTCTAATAATTCCCTCAGTCATTGCTCCTTTGTGAATTGTAGGGTCTATAAAGTAAAGTGCTAAAATACTATTTTTACATCACGACTCTGACTTGAAAACACTATAAATATGAAATAAAAATGCCTAGTTTTAAAGCAAAAGCGGAATTAACAACTGGATTCTAGATTGACTTTTTGTACGCACACTTAAAGGTATATTAAAAAGTTCTGATAGTGCAGTACCGCGTGATGGATGACTGAAGAAACGGAGCGCAAAGAAGCAAGCGTTCGCTTAGCACAAAACGGCAGCGTTCGTCTGCGGAGTTACGGCACATTTAATGGTCCATAAAGGCACCCCATAACTCGGCTATCTACCGGATCATTCCGAGTGTTATTCCCTCTTAATTGCCCGTTCCGGGCGGAATCGTCAATTCGAGATATTAAACTAATTTTCAATGCTGTGTAATCGGCGAGACGTGAGCGCCGCGGCAAGGGTTGACGTGTCTCTGTTCAGCGGTAGCTGTTCACTTGTGAACAATTGATTTTATTGTTTTATGTTTATGTTAGAAATATAATAAACATATTTAAGTAAGATATGCCTTTCATTTGGGGAGTTTTACTGATTCTCTGCATATCAAAAGCGGACATCTGAAACTATCGCAGAACTGTTTAGTTTCGCTTTGGTTCCTATGAGTTTTATGAAGGTGCGCTACTCGATTTTAGTCATGCAACTAAACAGTTGAATTAGCTACGAAACAAATAATTATAACAATTGTGCGATATTATAGCCAAAGGTTGGCGTCTCTTATAGTTTTAACTTTTACCGTTGTTTTTATTTTCAGTTTGTTTACGTCATAAACTTTTCTACCTTAACTATATAAAGTTTGACAATAATTTAATAAATTAATATTCCCATTCGCATTAAGAGTGTTCGCGTAATAGCATTAATTTGATGCGACTCCGACCACCATTCATCAGTTCCCGCTGCCCACCGCTCGCATGCAATGCGAGGCCTCGCTCAACGCCATTACCTCACTACCCAATAATCTCACAAAAGCTCGATGCAACCGACTCTTCCATCATCGCAAACATAATTAATACTACGACAGAGTATAATAACCTTTGTGTCTATGACAACAAAGTCTACCGAAACTGCGCTGATGTATTTGCGATAGGTCTTCGTTTCGGGTGCCAATTTTAATTAGCCCTCCCCCTCCAACCCCTCTCGACTCCCAGTCCCCATAGCCCCCTCAGCCCCCGCGACGCCCAGATAAGGGTGTTTGCAAATAGGAGGGACTGCAAAGAAGCCAATCCATCAAATCGGTGAGCGCATTACGACACCACGCTTGTCGCTCTTTAGGGATTGGTCACGTTGTTAAAATAATTTATCGATAAATTGGGAGATTATTTTAAAATGTCACGTTGGCAATTTCGTGAGCCTTTAAACATTTAAACGGGATCTTAAGAAGGGCCGATGCTCCATTATTTTCTTAAATTATGTTAAACATTAATGAGGGTGAGGTTCATAAAACAGTAAAGTAGAAAATAATTCCTACCGTACACATCTTTTAATGTTGCTATTTTAAAGAATGCTCAACTCATAATTATATACAAATGAGCAAAATCGGTAGCAACTTCTTTGAGTAGTATCGATGTTTCCCACGGCGATACATCACTAGTGGCGCGTGCTTTCAGTTGATTGGCGTAACTCGATAGCCCTGCACTCATTTGCGCCCCGCACTAATGTCGATAAATCTCGTAGGAGCGCGGTGTCAATGGCACTCGATGAAACTTCTTAAAATTATCACGGCGCCTATTTTGTGCAATTTCTTCCTAATATTGGATGAATTGATAAGCTATGAATTTCTAATAATAGGCTAGAAATTATTTTCTAGACCCAAAATACTGTACATACATTTTGAACCTCTTCAGATGAGGTTATAACAATTGTCAATAAGATCGAAATATTTCCAAACCCGAACATGTAACCACAGCATCCCTGCAACTGAGAAGCGAATCGACGTGCTCTCTCCCGGGGGTCGGAGATTCGGTGTCGGGTTGCAGCAATCGGCTTACGAATGCCTCGGGACCAAACACCACACTGATGGATTAGCTTTAATGAGCGTTCGCGTTTCCAAGTGCCACTTTCGATGATCTTGCTTATTGTTACTTTACAGATATTAAAATTTGCTAATGTATATGACTTGGAAAAGACTAACACTTCACACTAAGGAGCTTAAAGGGCTTGTTTTGGAACAAATAATATTAAAGTTACTGTAGTAAAGTAGCCCTTGGTAAAGTTAGCAGCCTGCTTAGTGTTTCTGGAGACAAGGTCATTGAACTATTGTGTAACACAGTCCTGCAGGGCACGGGCACATCGATTGCATTAAGTTAATTTAAACGTTCTCTTGACTTTTCGCACGCATCCCTCATTGTGTTTGTACACACCCATTTGGGGTTGTATTAGTGAATATTAAGGGTCGCTCCCTGTGTGCGTGGTCCCGAGATGAATTAGGGGATTACAGGACTGCATCATGCAACTGCACTCTGATTTTGCACGCTGATCATACTACAGGATGTATCTATATTCAAAGTAAAATTAAAAAAGGAAAAAAATCTATATATTTTTATAGACTTAAATTTTTTTTAGGTATTTCTCTCTGTTTTTAACCTCATTTATATATCAAATTTTAAAAAGTAATTCATTGTAATAGAACAAGGTTTATACAGCTAAATACCCGCTTGGATTGGAATGTAAAATATGAAGACAAAGCAAATGATTTCCACGTAATGTTGGAACGCTCGCAATAGTTCTGTGAAGCGCTTGGCGGAGGTTCAGCATAACTTTCAAATATCTGTCGAGATAAATAACAGACCGCGACCGCAATTGAAAGATAACCAATACGATTTGAGTAAAATACAAACCGCAGCATTATCTTAAACATGGCCTACTTTTAACGCGCGATTCCAACCGAGGCAATCACCCTTTCAGCAAAGATGCATTTAAACTGCTTTTATAGTTTTATTACTTTTCCGATATACATTTTAACTTTAAAGCAAAGTATGAAAATGAAGTCAAATTCATGATATCCATAGAAACTTATTATAATGTTACCTGCAACAGGAAATTTTGGCTAAAAGCAATCCAACAGCATTAAGGTTACTTGAATTCGTAAATAAAACAATTACCGATCATGGATGTTACTGTTTTTGTCAAATTCTAACATTTTTATTGTGAATGGTACACCCTATATAGCTGTGGGGAGCGACGCAAGGGCGACGGGTAATGGCCTAAGAGTAATTTTATTACTTTGCCCCTATTACCATCACAATGTGCATGCCACCGGTCGAATACGATACGCGGATACTCGATACTTTGCCTTTCATCATTGTCATTTATTTTATCGATATCGAGCTGGAGAACGTCGCCCAACACTAATACAGATGCTTCCCTAGTTAAAGCAAGGCTTTGAAATTAAATATAATTATCAAGAAATAAATACATATTAGATTGTGTTTTATTCTAATTTAATATTGGCTAACATAAATTTCGTGTAATTTATATTAACCAGGCCAACAGAAATAAGACGGCGAGCGGCGCTCGCAGTCGCTCCGCTGATTCGATTTGTTCCTGTTGCGATGAATATTTGATACGGCTCAGTGCACACTAATTTGTTTATCGTGCTCTGCTCTCCTGGTACACGCGGATAACATTTTCACAGCGAAATTCACATTAATTATTCAGAATTGCAAAATCCTCCGTTGCATTCCCATTATTTCTTTTTCCATTTTCTCAATAACTCCTAATTACATGTTTAAAACAAAAAACAGCCGAATCATGGTTTTTACACTTTTGTTCTAATATCAATGAAGACCATACTTAGATGTTAGAGCTGTCAAATATTATGAACCCGTCTTGTGTAAGAAAGGCAATAAACGTAGTATATATAATAGCAAAGCTAGCCTCATCAAATCCGCGCAGCCAACCACGTATAATACGTCGTAACTAGAATTAATTAAGCGTATATACTCAAGATTGGAATCAGCGTCGTGGCAGGTGATTAAATAAATAGTCGGCGTTTCTAATTAATATGCTAGACGTGCGGCCGATAAGCGAGCATCGCGACATTTCTGCGATTAACACGTTATTCCAACTGGATTAGCGAAAATTTGTCTAGTCTGTCTATCTTGTTTACTATCTAACTAATCTAAAGGTTCATACTATTTCTTTACGTTACGCTAACATATCGTTAATTGGTTCCACGTGTTAACTAAATAACTGATAGATGACATATGGTTTATTTGATTTTTGTCTCTATTTCCAGTTACATGATACAGTTTAGGTGCTGTAGCGTTTTCTAAGAATGTGTTTAAAAGAGGATCGTGTTACAGGAAGTTTGGTTACTTTTGGATACAAACTTGACAGGAATAACAAAAAGTTTTAGTGAAAAAATGTAACGTTTTAGATATTACAAACTTCGATTATTCATTAATTTTTAGGTGCATTTTTGTTTATTATCTTCCTTGAGATATACGCTTTAATTCAAAACCAATAAGCCCGACTGAAATCTAATATCTCACCCTAACTATCTTGTGTTAAATGTGTTGTCCTCTTAAACTCTTATTCTTCACAAATGTTTGACTTTCTTGTTTGTTGATAGGCGACGCGAGCAACGCCAGTATTGGCTCGGGGGAGGGCACGGGGGAGGAGGACGATGACAGCAATGGTAAGAAGAACCAGAAGAAGCGCGGCATCTTCCCCAAGGTCGCTACCAACATCCTGCGAGCCTGGCTCTTCCAGCACTTAACGGTGAGTACTGTAAGTCTAGTTGCACTTATAACCACTAGATTATTACCTACATATTACTACAAACATCATAAAACGAAAGGACAATGCTGCAGGTGACAGAAGTAATACTATTGTTACAACATCTACGTATATTACAATGACAATAAGAAAAACTGTTGACTCTTCTCAATGACTCGCTTTTTTGAACTGACATCGTCATAGTTACGCGGTAAAAATGGTAGAGAACGAATTCTTTTTTTTGTTCTGAAACAGTTTGGCCAGTACGGTGACATTATATTGTGTGAAAGCGCGCGGCCGCTGCGAAGCGCAGTTTAGGACAATTGTCCGGCGCCATGTTGCCGGATTTTCAATTAAAATTTCCCGACAGACCGATAAATTTTTCATTGCGCACACAAAGACCTAGTTCCAGGAACTTTCCGCTAGCGCCCCGCTAACGGAATTAAACTGGTCCGCGCGCTGCGAACGAGCTCGAGCGCCGTATCATTGTGATTGATGACGTAAAAAATAAACATTAGCATAAGACGAGTGCACGGTTCGCCGTTGCGTAGTAATTTCTAGAATGGCTTTCTGCTGGGGCGCGGGGTCGCGGGGGCGGCGGCGCGCGAGGGGGGTGCAATTTCATTACCGGTCCGGATCCGGGCCCATAAATCACCAGGGCCGAAGAAGGCGCTCCCGGCGTTCGGTTCAGGTGACGCGCTCTCCGGAGCGCGCTATTTCTGTTTCGTTCGCGACCCGGATCCCGTTCTTTACGGCCGCGGATTCCGCGAACCTTCCAAACAGTTTTAATTGCTGGAGCTGAAATGTGGCGCGATGGCGCCCGGCCGCGGCTCGGCCGTCGATGCTTCACGTTTCGGCAGTAGTGCCCGTCGACAATCGAATTAGAAGGCTTTTAGCGCGTGCCGCTTCGCGTTTTTGCGCCTCGCCGTCCGCGCGCCCATTACGTCCCAAATTACTTGTAATTGCTTCGCTTAACGCTAAGTGCTTTCATTACCGCGGGCGGATACTGTTTGGGCGCGGGACGTGGCATTATAAAGTCCCGCTCCTGTAGGCGCGGTGCAAATCGAGTTTGAATTTGGCGGCGGCGTCCGGTCGCCGATGGCTCCTCGTCAAAAAGCGCATCCGGCGGCTAGTGGGCAGCGTGCACACCGCATTCGGGCCGTGTAATATTCATTCGATTAGCGGCACGCCTCGGCCGCGATGACAGTGTGACACGCGACCGCCGCTGATTGCGCTGTGTTTCAATTTGGAACAAATGAACTGGTGTCGCTCCGCCGCCGCTCGCCGCCGATCACCGATTACAGGGAAACGAGCACGGCAGAGAGCCGCTGACTGTTGATTGAATTCCGCCGCTCATTGCCACCATATCCCTATCGATACTGTAGCAGGATCGCTGCCCTCTGATTACTCTGTTGCATTTATGATTCTACGAGTACGTGATATCCTGTTGCGAGCATAACATTGCTTTTCACTGCTCCGCTTTAAAGCTGTGATAGTTTTCACCTCCCATGATGAGACGATTAAAGCAAATGATGGCCAAGAGAAGCATAAAATACCTTAGAGCGTATTTTTCTTCGTCTCTATTTAGTTTTCATGTTATTTTATTTAAGTCATTATAAGAATTTCATGTTTCAAAAGTAATGTTTATAATCGGTTCTGACTTGTGACAGCAAATTAGTCTATTGCTTAGCAAACAGAAGTCACTATGCGTTTGCACCGGTCTTTGCAATATTTCGCGGTCGATTTATATGAATACAGCCTGGATGTTGGAGTTCCGAGTTCCGCGCTTGTAATTTGAACCTTCCTAACTTGTATTTGAACTCATTGATTGGTCTTGTTTTGTGATCACACAATCGATGAGGTTTAGCGTTTAGCTTGAAAAGCTTTTGTTTATTGAAACGTTTAACCATTGCAATTTACAACAGATGTACAGAATTCAATGTTATTTAGTTTGAAATTATCATAAATGATAATATCACTTTCTTAAAACAATATCACACAGAACGTGTCCGACACTCAAATCCTGTCCCTTCCCGTCGCACGCTGATTGTCACTCCCTGTCACATGTAATCTTGTTAATGATTAATAAATCGGCGAGCACGTCGCGCTCCCCCGCGCCCCCGCCCCCGCCCCGCCGCACACGCTCAGAAATAATATTGAATAACGTCTCTGAACAACAAATCCCACCTTGCGACTTTAAGCCCTTTCAGGGGGCTAAAAATAATTATAAGGCTTGCGTAATCCCCCGCCGCAATCCCCAGCGATTCTTTGCTTTGTCTCCGCCAGTTACATGTCTGGTGACACCGTTAAGTTTGTGTAGGCGTGGTTATAAATATACCATACTAATCTTTGGATATTTGCTATCAGGCATATGGTGACTATCTTTAGTAATTTATAAAGCAGACATATTAAGTAATTAATACGTACAAGCTAGGTCCTAACTATGTATTAAATGTTTTTAAATTGACAAGACAAGCTATGGCGACTTTTAAACAGGTCCATACACGCCATCACTCTAAATAGAATTTTCCCTTCGAAAAACATGATCGTAATTTTGTAAGACAACCTCAACATAATATTAATAGAAGCACCAGGACATCATGGAGCGGAGGAGATATTGCGAAATGCGGAATTCCTAGGCGTGCGGTGTTGAGTTACGTTAGTATCGGGTTCGCTTTGAGAAGCACCGCAGCGGAATAGAAGCATCGCGGAATAATCGCCCCGAAAGAATTTATACACATTATTTATGCAGACTGCCTCTTGCGTCATGCACGCCTGGTACTTTACGGTTATTACGAGCCTTGTCAAAGTGGGCTTCATGAATTTATCGGAAACGCTTTACTGGTTTTATATTCCACTTCCAATTATGCATGTATTTTCATATCTCCACTCGTTTCCTTTCCAATTTCACATGTATCAGTATAAATATGAAATTAAATCTACATTTTATCTTTTTAAATGTACACAGATAATGTTATAACATCAATGTTGAGGTTAAATTACAGTTTGACAGTGTAATTATGAAGTAAAAAAATAAATTATCATTTAATTTTATTAACACTAGCCATATACGAAAGCTGTCACAATAACCTCTCAACACTATTATTATTAACAAGTTTTCAAGTGCAGTTCTGTTGCCATGCAGATGTTAATCCGACCGAAGTTATCCGAATGTCTTACTTCCCCACTTTGCCCACCATTAATCTAATAACTGGGCCTCCCCACGAAATATTACTCAATTTTCGCTGTTTTCACCGCATTAAAACGTTGGGAAAAACTTTGTGTTCCCTTGGTTTATTTAGGGTAGGGCGAGTCGTAAGTTTCGCGCCGGCGTCGGGGCAAATTGCATACGAATCCTGGAAATGAGAATTTATTAATATTGGAAGGAGCGTGGAAGCGAATCTTCTACGAATTAAGCGTTAGAGGGTTTTTTATTTGGCAAGTAAATATAAATACTCGTTCAGAGACACTTGCGTGTGACTACTTATTTGACAGGTCAAATTCGTACACATTTGTTGTTACATCGGAAACATTCCCCCTTTATTTCTTCAATTTTCTGAATAAAATTATTTGGCCTAAATGAAATTAAATTGAGGCTCTGGTGGGCATAAAAACTTAGTGTTTACATCCATAAAATCCTGTCCAGTTGGTCATTGAGAGATATAATTCCAAGTTAAATATGCAATTTCCGATTTAATTTGATGTCAGTATGCTAACGGTCAAGAAGTGTCACATTTAATCATTTTTAATACCCTTAAAAATGGACTGTTATAGAGAGTGGGGTGGTGCGCTGTACCGCCAGGGCTGGTTAATGTTATTTTTTTCTTGGCGTCCACTTCAATGCCTCGATATCATTTAGGTTAGTAATATTGCAAAATGACACAATTGTAAAATGTTACACATAACATGAAGTTTGTTTAAATATAGTTTACTAGCTTTCGCCCGCGATTCTGTCCGCGTGCAATTAAAAACACAAATGTAAGAAGTCTATGTGTTCATCCAAACTATCCTCTTATATTTATGCCAAATTTAATCGAGATTTGTTCAGCAGTTAAGGCTACAAAGACTAACATGCATTAGTTACTTTTTAGTAATTAGTGACTTTAACTAAATAGCAATTTTAAAAAAGATTTAACGTCTTAATTTTAAGAAATCCATTACTAGTCTTTACGTTTACTATTAAAATACATAGAACTAGTTTGAGAATAGTTCTTTAGCAGCCCTACAGAACACAGGAACCATTTCCTGCGTCCCGGAGTCCCGGCGTCCCGGCGTTCCGGCGTTCTGGGGCGGCGTCCACTTTTTAAGTCCGCGACATTTAATGCCCGCTGGTACCGGGCCCACAGGAAATTCGGATTTGCCGGAAATAGAGTGTGCAGATGAAACGCTGCACCGAACAAGGACAGAGCTATTTGTATAGTATGCTAACGAAAATCGATATAGATTTTATATTGAACTCGTTGTTAGTGTACCTAAGCCGTAGTTAAATGCTGGTCCAGCTTAACTTCACGGACTTCGGAACTTCACTTCTTCACGACGGATGAAATGTACATATGAATTTTGATAAACATATTGGTACAAGGCGGGATTCGAACCCAGGACCTACAGATGCTTCACACCTGAATCATTAATGACTTCACATTTGCATAAAAAACCGTTATAGAATATCGATTTGACAAAAGTTTATCATTCTCCTGGTTAATTAATACTTGTCACTCGATACTCAGTTTGCAGTTAGGGTTGTTTGCGCGTGTTCAGTTCCCGAGGCGACCTGCCGTACATTTGTATAGGACGTTTGTGTTGCCGAGATACTAAAGGGTTACGCTTCACAAATATTGGCTTACTCTTGAGGCTAATCTATTTGCGGTAGGGATTGTTTTACGCGGATCACTTTCAAGCCTTTACACCGATTTGGATATTTTGAAGTGTCGCTTGAGGGCTTAAATAATTATTTTCATCTGACTTTTTAATAAACTTCTTAAGTAAACCAAGTAGTTTAAGAG